TATCATGCCTGCGGAGTCATACATTTAGTCCATATTTTTTCCACATGCGATTTTTTTTTCACTTTGGGTTAATTATGGTTTCGTTTGGTTAAATTTGTATAATCTAACAGACATGCAGGTATATATGATTTATTTATTTATTTTGATGTACTAAAAGCTCAATGAGCTGGTGTCGGAGCCGTGAAACAATGGTATTCACTCCACTTCCCTGAATGGCTTCCATGATGGTGGTCGGCAGGAAGTAAGTCGCTTAGTCACGTCTCTGCGACTTATACAAAACCATCACTAATGTACGTCTGGATTTAGCAGTGATGAGCCACCGAGTATCGCCAAACTTTGATCCATATCTCCTACAAGCACACAAGGGATAACAGTCAATTTACTGACTATGAAACTAACAAGTGTCAAAAATTCACGTATGGAGATCACGAGATATGAAAACACTCACGAAAACCGACTACGAGATGGGTCGGTGAAACTGGGTAGCTTTTGCTTAAATATATCCATGAAAACCACAGCAGACAGAAGCTTGTGGACGGATACGGGGGATGAGGTGACCTTCATCCAGCGATAGGCAGACAGGCTGAGACACACACACACACACACACACACACACACACACACATCACCATCATCATCCGAATAAAATATTAACTGAGACGTGAATGTGCCCTCTTCAGGTCCAAGTAAAATGTCACTGCATTGGGCTGACCTTTCCAGCTGTTAAAAACACGTACAGAATCTTCTTGAACAGGTTTCAATTTTCACATGTTCCTACTTTAAATAATAATCCTCACTGCCAACAGGGACTTACATTTAACTGGCAAAAAAGACACACAACTGACTGGCAACAACAACACACAACTAACTGAAAACAACGACACACAACTAACTGGCAACAACGTCACACAACTAACTGGCAACATCGACACACAACTAACTGGCAACAACACACAACTAACTGGCAACATCGACACACAACTAACTGGCAACGTCACACAACTAACTGGCAACATCGACACACAACTAACTGGCAACAACGTCACACAACTAACTGGCAACAACGTCACACAACTAACTGGCAACAACGTCACACAACTAACTGACAAACTCGACACCCAACTAACTGACAACATCGACACTGGCTCACTTTGGCTACACCATAAGACACCAGCAGCTAGGAACGGATTCTCTTGTAATTATTAACATTTACTTCTTCAATACTTAACGCCCAGAGTATTCAAGGGGTTAAATCATTGTACTCTAGAGGTTGTCATTGTACTCAAGGGGTTAAATTGTACTCTAGAGTTGTCATTGTACTCAGGGGGGTTAAATCATTGAACTCAAGAGGTTGTTATTTTACTCAAGGGGTAAGTCAATGTACTCAAGGGGTTAAATCACTGTACTCAGGGGGTTAAATTGTACTCATGGGGTTAAATCATTGTATTCTAGAAGTTGTCATTGTATTCAAGGTGTTAAGCCATTGTACTCAAGGGATTAAATCATTGTACTCTCTAGAGGTTGTCATTGTTCTCAAGGGGTTAAGCCAATGTACTCAAGGGATTAAATCATTGTACTCTCTAGAGGTTGTCATTGTACTCAAGGGTTTAAGTCACTGTACTCAAGGGTTTAAATCACTGTACTCAAGGGCTTAAGTCAATGTACTCCAGTGGTTAAGTCACTGTACTCCAGTGGTTAAGTCACTGTACTCAAGGGGTTAAGTCACTGTATGCAAGGGATTAAGTCACTGTACTCCAGTGGTTGTCACTGTACTCAAGGGTTAAGTCACTGTACTCCAGGGGTTGTCACTGTACTCCAGGGGTTAGGTCACTGTACTCCAGGGGTTAAGTCACTGTACTCCCAAGGTTAATCATTGTACTCAAGGGGTTAAGTCACTGTACTCTAGGGATTAAGTCACTGTAATCCAGTGGTTGTCACTGTACTCAAGGGTTAAGTCACTGTACCCCAGGGGTTGTCACTATATTCTAGGGGTTAAGTCATTGTACTCCAGGGGTTGTCACTATACTCCAGGGGTTGTCATTGTACTCCAGGGGTTAAGTTACTGAACTCCAGGGGTAAAATCACTGTACTCCAAGGGTTGTCACTATACTCTAGGGGTTAAGTCACTGTACTCCAAGGGTTGTCACTATACTCTAGGGGTTAAGTCACTGTACTCCAAGGGTTGTCACTATACTCCAGGGGTTAAGTCACTGTACTCCAGGGGTTGTCACTATACTCCAGGGGTTAAGTCATTGTACGCCAGGGGTCAAGTCATTGTACTCTCCGTTAAACTAATCATAGTCAACATAAACAAACAGGTACAGTATATATATACAGCCCATTATACAGTGTACTCCTGAACAACTGCTAATAATTAATTATTCACTGGTCATTTATTTCACTAGTGGCAAATAGGGGTTAAAAATATCTATAAAAATATGTTAAAATTCAAAATTGGGAGGTTTGGTTAGGTTAGGTTAAAATTCAAAATTGGAGGGTTAGGTTAGTTTAACATTCAAAATTGGAGGGAATTAAACCGTCTGTTAGCCTAAGGGGCGGATCTAAGAGAGGTTGGCAGGGAAGGATTTTAGAGCCAGACAAGAACATTGACGGAACAGAAATTAAAACCTCTTCTGTATTTTATCATTTTGTATTTCATTTTTCCATTTCATAGATGTATTTTTCACTTTTTATTTATTCTTAAAAAATATCCAATCGGAATTAATACAATGTTGGATTTACCAAATTTATAACGGTTTGTCTTTAGTAGTGTGTGTGTGGGGGGGAGGGGGTGGATTCTTGCCCTCCTGTTTCAGAATACGAGATGGGGAGGAGGGATAACGTAGGAAGGAAAAGATGATAAAAGGGTGGAGGGAAATAACGAAGGAAGGGAGATCATATATTTTTTGATAAAAGGAGACACATGTGTTGAGGAATTACGAGGGGGAAGAGGAAGTGATGAACGAGGAAGGAAAATAACGAATAAAAATGATGGAAGGTAAGGGAAAGGACGGGAGGGGAAAATAATGAAGGGAAGGATGGAAATAAAACAAAATATTGAAGGAAAAGAAAACAATGGAAGAGGAAAATAACAAAATAATGAGACGTGGGATGGAAGGAGAGGAAGAAAAAAGACAGAAGGAAAAATATAGAGGGGCGAAAAATAATGAAAGGGAAAGGATGCGAAAGAAATAAAATAAAGGATAGGAAAATGGTGGGAAAGAAGGGAAACACGGATAAAAAAAGAATGGAAAGAACGGAATGAATGAATAAAGGTTGAGGGATAATAACAGGAGAAAGAAGAGAAAGGCGAGAATGAATGGAAGTGAAAATGAAAGGAGACAGAAGAGGTGAAAATGACAAGTAGGAGAAAGGGTGAAATTGAATGGGAATGAAGAAGGAGTAGATAGTGCTAAAAGGAAAGAGCTTTGAAAGAAAGGGAGGGGAGAGATAGAAAATGAAAGATAATGAGTGGGAGAAGGTAAATCATCAGAAAGGGAGAAATGGAACACAGCAGAGATAACGGACGTGGAAATAATAATGGAAGGTTAATAAAGGAATAGTTAAATAAGGGTGAATAAAAAAAATATATAGAGAAGGAAGAATGATGGTATGATGAAGGAAAGGGGTTGATTAAGTGATTGATTGTGGTAATTACATCCCTGGCGACTGAAATTCTGAAGGAAGGGGATTGAAGAGACAAAATGATGGGAAGAATGAAACGAAATAACTATAGAAAACGGAAAAAACAAAGGAGAAACGGAAAAGAATCAAAGAAAGGTAAGAAATAATAAACAAAATAAAATAATCAAAGAAAAAGTAACACCATTCACGGAAAAAGAGAAGTAATCAAGGAAAGGTGAAGAAGTAATAAAAGAAATGGAATCAAATCAATGAAGGAGAAGTAAAATCAAGGAAGAAAGGAAAATCAAGGAAAAGAAAAGAAATAAACAAGTGAAAAAATAGTAAAGGCAAATACAAAAAAATCAAGGACCGGAGAAGAAACAATGGAAAAGTTAAAAATAATAAAGGAAAAATGAAAAAAAAATAATGAAGGCGAAAAAAATAATGAAGAAAAAGGAAAACAAAAATAATAAAGGTAGTGAAAAATTAATTAAGGAACGGTGATAAAATAATTAAGGAAAAGCGAGAAAAAATCAGGTAGGATGAAAAAAAAATATATCTATCGAGCAACAACGAGCCTAATAACATTTACGGTTTACTCTCATTCCTATGTCTAATTGCATTGCGACATCAATAATTCACCTTTGGTTATAAAAAATAATGATCTTAACATCATTATCTCACAACACTAGCATGTACCTATAATTATAATAATAATCTTTGGGCATAATTTAACAGTTCAAAATAATTGCAATAGTAAGCTAACATTAGATGTTATGTGTATATAAAATGTAACAATACTTTTCTTGGTATTGCTTGTATGTGGAAGACCGCGTGCTCTCTCTCTCTCTATATATATATATATATATATATATATATATATATATATATATATATATATATATATATATATATATATATATATATATTATATATATATAGTAATAATTGCAGTTTGAAAATGTTACAGTAATATACATTAAACAAAATAGTAATGACAAAGGCCATACAACAAATGCAAATTTTATACAGGAAGTAAAAATATTAATTCTTCTAATCCCTACTGTACAGTATATCAGGTTAGACTACATTACGGTCGTATTTCCAGTGTGTACCCAGCTTCAGCCTCACTAACATGTAAATAATATACAGTATAGCTGTACAGTATTTTAAAGTCACTTCAAAATTTCGAGTGCAAATATCCTCTTTAATTGAAGACAAATTTAAAGACAAGAGTTATATGAACGTGTACATGATTACAATAATCATTCTTAAGCTGACAACACAGACAGAAATACGATACAGCTGCAAGACGCTACTACAGCTTTAAGACTAAAAGTAGGTTAGGCCACTTTTTTCCCTCCTAAAATGTTTACCTGATTCTGTGCGTTGCCATCTACTTCAATCTTGCATTGTGCTGATTCTTCATCTAACAAGAGAGCTGTAAATACATTTTTCAATTCATTGGGTTTTCACACTATTACTTCATTTGACAATTTTGCAGCAGTTTTCCACCATCAGCACAACACTTGTGACTGACTCACTCCCAAAATGCCACCCTCCGCCTTTGCCGTTGTGGGTCTCGGGTGCTGACCCCTGCTCCTTCAGCACTCTGACTATGCCACAGTCTATCCGGGTCACATTTTGCCACCTCATCTATCAGGCACGTCCACCATTGTCCCAAGTGAGCGAGGGCGCGGCGGAGGAGTCCCAGCTACACTTGCACTCCTCACAGAAGCCGAGCCCGCACTGACCCTCCACACGCGCCACTCCTCTCTCTTCCTCACCACCACCAGCTGATGGCCGCTCCAAAATAATTTTCCAGGATGAAGAGTATCATTCCCGGACACGTTCGAAATGATTGAATATTCCAAGGATTTACCTCACGATATTAATTTCATCATAAGCCATTGCAATATAAGTTCTTCCAAACCAACAAACTAATTCAGCTAATGGTTGTTCCAGCGAATAATCTCCCAATAAAACTAAAATTCTTCACTTACCGAAAATTCCAATAACTTACTCAACGATATTTAATCAGGCTTATAATAATGAAATTGTATTTCTACCTCACCAGCCCTCTAATCTAGCTGATGGTGGCTCTCACGTTTTTTTTTTCTCCTCAGGACGAAGACAAGCAATATCTCACACGATCAAAGAAGATGAATATTCCAAGAACTAACTAGAGATATTTAATCAGGACTCAGGCCAACATGAATTTGGTTCCGGTCCAGCCGAAGGCCTGATATTTTCCCTAGGATGGAAACTTCAATTTGCGCCTGTTACAAAAACTAGACTTATAGCAGGTGTTAAAATTGCCTGGTGTTAAAATTTTATTAAGATCACTTACATTCTCTCTACCTATAATACTCTATACATGTACCAATATAACATCTAAGAAATCTATTGCCAATTTAAACTTCCCATTTTCGCTTGGTCAATATTATTGATAGTATCGAAAGTTTAAGCTAATATTAACTTGAATGTTGGCATTTCCAATATGTTAATGTACCGTTAACTTGAACTAAGATAATCTAATTGCCTATGAACTTGAACTCTGAAATCAGTTTAAGTACTGCAAGTTATTGTTATACGTAAATTAGTTAAATTAAAGTTTACAATTCACCTCAAACTCTAATCCATTTTTCGTTATCTAATCTAATTGAGATTTTATTTCATTTTATTAAATTCTGTCTTGTAAAATAATGTGAAATCTAATTTTGTTCAATCCTGCGAGGGCATCCTTGTTCACCCCCACCTCCCACAAGAAGTCTAATGGCATAATATTGGGAGATCAAAGAGCCAGGAGATGGGTCCATCTCATCAAATCCATCTGCTGGGGAAATTCTTGTCAAGGAAGTTATGTACAATCAAACTCCAATGTACTAGAACCTGCAAAATAACAAATACAGGTACACCTATAGTTACAACTCTTCCAACTGGTAGACCATGTAGACTTACATAGTGTATCAGTTGGCTGTGCTACGGTTCACTTATGGTGCATATGTTGAGATGCACTGAAGAACATATAAAACTCAATTTGAAAAAAATAAGAAATAAATTATTCTATCTCTTTTAGTTTTGTTGTATTGGGTGAGGTCTTTCTCTAATGTCATGTGAGTAAACAATACAGGTATGTTACAATATAGAGGGGCCAGTACCATGCCCTTGATGTACCCATCACTTCTGTAGTTCCTTCTTGTGCTGACACTTACCCATTGGTATTTAATCATTCGTTCATCTCGTCTTTTTTGCACTCACTCAATGGCAAGGGCAGATCCAGGGGGAGGGCCTGACTCCTCCTTTTCACCAGAAATTCCAATACACTTTCTTTAATGCAGTACAGTATTGTACTTAGGCATTTTGGTATAGTAAAAAGTAATTTCAATTGACCTCAGAATATCTCCTAATATCAAATGCACATGGCTTCAAAATGTGAAAATGACCATAATTTTTTTTTTTTTACGGGGAATAGCCCACCCAGGCACAAGTCAACGACCCACAACAGGGCCTAGTGGGCGAAAAAATAAGAGTAAAAGAAATTAAAAATAGAAAAGAAAAAGAATACAATAATCCACACCACAAAGATGCTGGAAACCAGCTTTTTAAAGTGAGACAGATTGTATGAGTGTGGAAACAGAAGGCAGAGCATTCCACAGTTTGGCTGTGTGAGAAAAGAAGGATGTACTATAACAGGTTATTCCAGTGTGACTGACATCCACAGAGAAATGGTGGGCTCCGCAGGCAAGAAAAGTGATACAAGCTCACAGCCTTAACGGTGGTACACAGGATGCCAAATCCACCGAACATTGTCCATTATTGTACCGGTAAAAGAGAGAGTGAAGAAACATTGTGGCGAAGAGAAAGGGAAGAAAGATTATCAACTAAAGGAGGAGAGTTAATAAGACGAAATGCTTTTGATTCAAACCTACCTAACAGTTGGACAGAAGAGCCACCCCAAATATGAGAGCAATACTCCAAGTTAGGACGAATGAATCCCTTATAAACTTGAAGCAACTGCTCAGGAGTGAAGTAGCTACAGCATCTGTACAGCTTTCGGGAGGCAACTTTAGCAATGTTGTGGATGTGTGGCTTCCATGACACATTAGTGGATACGGTGAGGCCTAGCATATCTTATTTTTGAATTTGGCAGAATGATTGCACCCTGAAATGTGATTGGTGGGAGATCATCTGATTTGGAAAGTGTAATTGGTAAATACTGTGTTTTATTAATATTGAATTTAACCAAGTTTGCCATGTCCCCCCCCCCCTCCCCCTTGATATTCCTGGATCTGCCCCTGAATGGTCGGTCATGTGGTCCCAAGTAAAAGAACAAACACAATCTCTCTCTTTTCAGTGATAAAACCTTGATAGAGCAGATCACAGTAATATCACCAGGGGCTTTCCAGGAGTGCTAAGAGTCTCTCGGGGTGGAGAGAGAAAAAAAAAAATCTAGTAGTAGTTTGTCATGTTGATATAAAGTGCACTATATCAAATCAAGTATAAAAACAATCTTACTGTAAAAATGCTATACCTGGGTGGCTTGACCTTCAATAAACTCCACTGTACCTGTAGTACTTTACTTATAAGAGACAAAATACATACTGACCTACCTATGGAGACGGTGTTGTCAAAAAATCTTACCCCATTCCTAAATGACTAGTTTGAATGGGAGCATCAAACTCTTTAGAGAAAATTAAAGTGAATAAGAACTTCCAAACTGCTTGAATGCTTCACAACTATTCATAGGTAAATTGATTTTCTTCAATCACTAATATGTACAGAAAGCAACTTAACACAGAAATCAATAAATGTTTAGCTTTGTATTTTATTATACAGCAGTACAAAAAGTTGGTATTATAATACTTAACTAGTAAATAAAAGCAACAAACCACCTCAATATGTCAACTGATATTGACTAACTTGAGACAATTAAAAAGTGATAATCTTTTGGGTAATTCCAGCATTCATTTATAAAACTCAGGAAGGTTCCCCCTAGAATTTTGATTAAGCGGTACTCCAAAAAAAATATATACATATTTTTTAAATCCATTATAAATTAGAACTGAAAACAATCTTTTTCAAACTCTTACTACAGATAACAGCGGCAGACTCTCAATAGAAAACTTCTGGGTAGTAATATTAAAAATTAAACCAACAATTATTTTATCTAAATTGCATTATACAATACTAGAAGTAATTTGTCTGGATATCTGGCACAAAGTTAGTGTTGGACAGACAACAGTTCTGGGATAAAAAAATTTAAGCAAAAAGGATATCTCAGAAAAACACTACTATTTATGTACAATACATACTGCACTTACTTTCAGCGTCAACCATTAAACACAGTACAGTACTGTATTTTATACCGAGGGAAAATATAGATTAGCTATCTGGGTAGACTGTGCATGGAAGGCATTAGTACCTGCCTCACATTCATATTGATTCTATTACTTTTGACATAATTTAACAAGTCTACAATATCACTACTGTTACTCACATCTTCACATTTTCTTCTTTTGACATGTGAAACAGTTTTGTCTTTATTGAAAACAAAGTTTTTATTCCATGTACTTTCTTTAACTAGGCATTCTTCATTAAGGATTACTACTTTTGAAACACTTCCCTCTGAAGAGCCACTCGCTCCCACATCATTATTCCATATGATGGTGCTTTCTTGGTTATCAGAAATGTCTACCTTTCCTTCACATTCGTCTTGTTTGATCTGTTCTGCATTCCAAGGTTCCTCTTCAACCAGAACTATTCTCGGGACAGCATGATATGCTTGACGTGAAGTTCCTGACATGACCATTACATCACCACTGTGAAGATGAATTGCTGAAGGTTTTGTTGCTTTTGTTGGACCTCCAATGAGGAAGACTGCACTCTGCCCAAAGCTGTCAGTCGATAAAAGTGATTAAATTTCATGTGGAAAATTTTTGAGAAAAACAACAACAACAAAAACCTACAATTAACTAAATGTCAAAACAAATAAATTATTTATACTTCTCATAACATGCATTACTGTACAGTGGTCCCTCGGTTAACGAGCACAATTCGTTCCAAAATGTTGCTCGTTAATCGAAACCATTGTTTCAATAGGTTTTTGGGTAATTGGTTCCAGCTCACCGAAAATTGCCTAAAGTCAACAAAAAAGGTAGTAAAGTACACCTACTTTGAGGTGTGTACTGTATGTAGAAGGCTCCTGGATGATGATGCTGATGTGAATTTGAAGTGGGAGGTGGAGGAGGAGAAGGGAGAAGAGAAGGAAGTGGGGGTGGAGGAGAAGGGAGAAGGTGAAGGCATTGGGGTGGAAGAGAAGTCACCCCATGCTGCCATTTCACCCATAAAATTTTAGTTCACTTGGTGTAATTCAAGATTATTTTCTTTAAATCAACACTGCACTGCATTATATATTGTCAATATGTAAAATAAACTTCAGAATGACCAATAATTTGACTGGAAACACAGAAAAAAAGCGTTTATGTTGAAGAGAGTCTGAAGCAAGATGTTACCTCCACTGAAAAGACACAGAGACTGACGCCTGTATGGTGTGTTGACAGGCTGTTTGGGGCACTAAAAACTAGTTTCCCTGTACTTAAATTATGTTAAATAATTGTTGAAATGACTAAAAATTTTAATATAAGACTTTTAAAATTATTGAATAAGTACAAACTTCGTGATATTTACTAAAATAGTAAGGAATTTAAGCCCTAGAACCGATTACTGTATTGGCGGACTAATACGACAGCTAGTGTGCAAGCGAAAACATGTTGAGGGGCGCTCGTAAGGAATTCGTTAATCAAGGGAATGCTAGTTAACCGAAGTTAAGAATCTTATGGAAGTAATTCGTTAACCGAGGCGCTCGTTAACCGAGGATCACTGTACCTGTAATTTAATTTTACTGTCCACACTTGATGGGCCCTGCAAGATGTGCAAATTTAGAGATCACTAACCTTGACACCAAGCTTGTGTAATAATTCCACTTATGATTCATCCTTTGGTAGTACAGGTTGGGTATCCTTTATCCGAAATGCTTGGGACCTTAAGGGTCTCGGATTTGGTATATTTTTGGATTTTGGAATACCAATATCCTGTATACAGAAACCTGTATAATGCGGTAGCTCACCCAGCAGGGACGAGGCCCAAGTCTATGCACAATTCATTTATATTTCATTTACAGCATATGGATACATATTATATTCTGCAGGTAGTTTTATGAAAGTATAATTTCATCATTTGGGGTATAAAATATATGATAAGATGCACACTAAAGATCCAGAAAGGTAAGCAATCACTACTGTATGTTTGGCATCGCCATGACGCCTGACTCTGAGGTGTTAAGCAGCCTGTGTCTTTCCTTTATTCATTACACATACATACTTACCCTAGTAAAAACTATGATATATGCCATATTCGGTTTATTATCTACCATGAATATGAAATAGGTTTAGGATTTCAGAGCATTTCGGACTTGGGAATTTTGGATAAAGGATACCCAACCTGTAATGTAAAAACATACCCGTTTCATTTAAATATCTTAACCAGGTGTGAAACTATTGAGCACACATAGAACTGCTGACAGAGAGGCAAGGGAATTATATGCAGGGTTCCAGTATCTTCAATTCTGAAGGTCCTAGCAAGGAAAAATTGGTAGACACATGAATAAAAGGGAAGAATTTAATAACTGGAAGATGTACAAAAAAGTAATGTAGCTACATAAGGTTCATATGCCATAATACTGTACTGTACTTATTTCTCCAATCTAAGAAAACCTCACCTAAATGAGAAGAGAGGAGCTGCATCATATGGCTCTGAGTGGTCCGTGTGTGCTGCTAGTGTTGAGTCTTGATGGTAATAATTGATGATGGCTGCCTCAGCTCTGAATTCTTCAAAACCCAGAACTTTTGAAACAACACTACACAATTTTACCAAACTGGGTGGCATTTCCCCTCGCAGATCCTCACTGTATTCCTGTGAAACAATACGTATAGTACAATGTACTGGCTTAAAAAAATTTCACATTTTAAAACATTTCAAAATTGCTAATAATTCATGCCTGGATTTTGGATTTAACCCCTTCACAATGGATATGCCACTTATAAAATTTTAATTGGCTAATGCCAGACACTTTCATTCAGCTAACCACTAATGGTAAAGAAATAAGCCGAGACGATTGGGAACGCCAACGTATGAACAGTAAGTGCATACATGTGAAAACACATTGTCATTTCTCTTCATTGAATATGAAAGCAACACTTATTTACTGTTCATATATGTTTTAAATAATATTTACGAATGTAAAAAAAAAATTCTACTAATAAACCAATGAACATTGTGAGAGTTTTTACTCAGATGATGAAGTCATCAGGTTCAACTCTGGCTGAAGCTGTAGCTCTGTAAAGCTGTTGCTGAAACTGTTACTGAACCTGAAGTTGATGTTGAAGCTGCTTATGATGCTGAATTTGACGGTGTAGCTGAAGTTGATGGTTTAGGCCTTCGAATAACAAAGCTGTCGAAAGAACCTTGCACAGCTGCTTTCTTTTCTCATTACTGTATACATCTTTATGTAGAGGTCATTTGTGTTTATTTAAATTTTAATGCTTTGTTCTGTTCTGCTTGTTCCATATAATATCCACAGACCTCTCACCTTTTTCATATCGTTTTAACACATCTAGTTTCTCGGCTAAGCTTATACACTTTCTATTAGCTTTTGAACCAACACTACCATCACTTGCTCACTGGCTCATGTTGAATAGGGATGCAAAAATGCTGTAAGAAACCTGAGAAAGTTTTTCTCCTGCTCCTGTTCCATACTTATACAATCTGTCTCACTTTAAAAAGCTGGTTTTCCGGCATCTTCATGGTGTAGATTAGCACAGTACAGTGATCCCTCGGTTAACGAACACCTCGGTTAACGAATTACCTTCCATAAGATTCTTCACTTCGGTTAACGAGCAATCCCTCGGTTAACGAATTCCTTACGAATTTTTCCCAACATGTTTTCGCCTGCATTTGGCTGCCCACCAGCTGTAGTATTAGTCCGCCAATACAGTAATCAGTTTTAGGGCTTAAATTCCTTACCATTTTAGTAAATATCAAGAAGGTTGTACTATTCAATAATTTTAAAAGTTTTATATTAAATTTTTTAGTCATTTCAACAATTATTGAACCTAATTGATGTGCAGGAAACTAGTTTTTTGCGCGCTAAACAGCCACTCAACACACCAAGCTTGCCGTCAGTTTGTTTACCATTTCAGAGGAAGGAACATCTTGTTTGAGACTCTTGAACATAAATGCTTTTTTCTGTGTTTCCAGTCAAATTATTGGTCATTTTGAAATATATTTTACATATTGATAATATATAACGCAGTGCAGTGTTGATTTAAAGAAAATAATCTTGAATTACACCAAGTGAACTAAAATTTTATGGGTGAAATGGCAGCATGGGGTGACTTCTCTTCCACCCCAATGCCTTCTCTTCTCCCTTTTCCTCCACCCCCATTCTAATTTCCATCATCATCATCATCAACCAGGAACCTTCTACTTGCACACCTCAAAGTAAGTGTACTTTACTGTATTTATTTTTAGTTTGTATGTAATTTTCGGTGAGCTGGAACCAATTACCCAAAAACCCATTGAAACAATGGTTTCGGTTAACGAGCAACCTTCTGGAACGAATTGTGCTCGTTAACCGAGGGACCACTGTATAACCTTTTTCTTCTTTATTTTCAATTTCTTTCTGTTCTTTTTTTCGCCCCCCAGGCCCCGTTGTGGGTCGTTTGACCTGTGTCCGGGTGGGCTAATTGCAGTAAAAAAAAAAAAAAAAAAAAAGCTGCGTGAAAACGGTTGTTTGCCACTCATTAGCCAGGCAGCTTCTTTGTGCAGAGCACTCTTCATTTTTTTACAGTAATTTATTTTTTTTATTATACATATCGGGATTTAGTTATTTATATGGAAATGTAATTTTATTTTATTTTTATTATATTTTGATCGTAAATACGAATGAAATAAGGACGTAAATTGAATTGGGTCCTAAATTAGCTAAGGTTTTAAATATGACAAGTTGTTGGTCGAATCGTTGATATCGGAGGTTTTACTGTACTATGTATTATTTTCGTCGGTTTACTTACGACTAAATCGACTTATGACCTGGTCGTCGGAACGGAACCCCATTGTAAGTGGAGGATAGACTGTATTTTCTTCACTCTTGTAATGATAGGTACAATGTTTCTTAATATGTTATCGTAGGTAAATGCATAGTTTATATAATTTGTTTATCACTGTGCCCGTCACCATTTCCAAATTAAGACTACAAAACTTGCAATTCTCTTATACTTACAGTGGTCCCTAGGTTAATGAACACAATTGGTTCCACAGAGTCGTTCGTTAACCGAATCTACTATTTCAATGGGATATTGGGTAATTGGTTCCAACTCACAGAAAAGTACATACAAAGTACAGTATAAACAAAATGCAGTAAAGTACACTTACTTTGAGGTGTGTATGTAGAAGGCTCCTGGTTGATGATGATGATGGGAATTAGAAGTGAAGGGTGGAGGAGGAGAAAGGAGAAGAGAAGGAAGTGGGGGTGGAGGAGAAGGAAGAAGAGAAGCATTTTAATGCTTCTTGGAAGGTGACAGTCACCTTCCATAATAATGCCAGGAACCTCTGGACTGACAGATTCTCTAACATGAGAATCCTTTCTCCTTTTTGGAGAGGAACACTGAGAGGAATCATCTTTTTCACCCATGCTTGATGCAGTAATTTCACCAATAAAATTTTAAGTTCACTAGCTGTAATTAAAGATTATTTCATTTAAATCAACACTGCACTGCACTATATATTATCAATATTTTAACTAAATTTCAGAATGACCAATAATTTTAATATAAAAATGTAAAAATATTCAGGAGACCAGCAAACTCAATGTTTCCTCCACTGTAAACAAAGTTAAGCAGAGAAACTTTGGCGGGTGAGTCAAGCGGCTAATGGGCGCACAAAAACTAGTTCCCTGTACTGTATATATTATCAATATGTTAACTCCACTGGAAATGAATGTAAACAGAACCGATTACTGTATTGGTGGACTAGCCGATCAGCTGATGCTCACAACGAAACGTGTTTCTCGTAAGACTTTCGTTAATTGAACTGAAAATCCTTATGGGAGCTAATTCGTTAACCAAAATTTCGTTAATTGGACTGTTCGTTAACCGAGGGACCACTGTATTTCGATCATACACTTGGCAACGGTTGCGAGTAAGGGGAGTGAGTGACCGCTAGATGAGCGTTGTCTGCTCTTGTAACTCTCCTCCCTCTCTGCCGTATTTCACTGGATTTACTGTTATTATTGACGTTTACTGATATAACAGTGCTTAACCCATAAAAGGTCACATTATTATAGGAGTAGTACAAGAAACTGAAAGACATACCGTAAGTATTTGGAAAAGATTAATTAGAAGATAAAAAACATAGAAATAAGTAGAATAAAATAAATAAATAAATAAATAAATAAATAAATAAAAGTAAATTACTTACCCCCTACACATAAAGAGAGCAACATAAAAAAAAATTCAAGCAGAAGCCCAGAACAGACAGATGGAGAACAGAGTATAAAACCTCCTTTTACACTATATTGCATGGGGCATACAGTAAACCATCACACTTCTGGAAAATTAGGGGGGAGAGGATATCTGGATGTGACAAATGTCCGGATGAACCAGGGGACGAATATGAGTTAACGATAATCATAATACTGTACAGTATTGTACATGGACTTTATTGATACGAGTAATAATAATAATAATAATAATAGGAGAGACCACCTGTTCGAAAAAGTCGATTGTTCATATCTTCCGGCGAATGTGCTAAATGTATAAAAACAATATATAACGATATAAAAACACCAAACTGTATTTTACGGCATATAAGATGCATCCCCTATTTAGCAGTGAGTATTTAGGAAAAAACGTGTGTGTACCTGTATTTTCCTCCTGTAACAATAGTTTTCTTAAAATAATATAAACAATACCAGGAAATGAGCGGAATGAATAAATATAATACCTGTACCAATAAATAAGTTACAACAACAAATACTATTGACAAGCCAGTAATAAAAGCCAAATGATATACAGTAAGTCCGCACTTAACGTCGTCCCACTTAATGTTGTTTCGGTACTATGTCGCTAATGTTTAGAGACCCAAAATTCGTTTAACGTCCCGGTGATCTGATACTGAGTTATTTTGCGTCGTTGGGGACTACTTTTTACGGCGCATCACCCGCTCTTGTCTGGACCCGCTATGCTCTCTTGGCTCGTCGCAGTCTTAGTGACTCACCACCCTCCTCCTCTGCTCCACCCACCCTCCTTCGCTCCCACCCTCCTCCTCCCCTCCAGCCATACTCCTCCTCTGCTTCACTACCTACCACACACTCGCTTTACCACCTCTGCCCATTGGTGAGTATCAATACAAACTTAGTAGATGTATATGTATGCACTATTTTCTATAGAAATGGCAATGATTTTCTGTATATGTAATGTATTTCATGGGGCAAAGGTAGGCTCAGGAACGTAACTCCCATATTTTATCTATTTCTTATGGGGAAAATTTATCCTCTTAAAGTTGTTTCGTATAACCTCGCGTTTTTAGGAGAGTAACCCCGACGTTAAGTGAGGACTTATTGTATTAACACAGTCGCCATTTGCATACACTCCCTGCTTCACCATAATAACAAATCAGCTGGGATGCTGATTCCCTAGCAACATTCCCCCAACCCCTTCACTCTGCGCTCTCCTCCCATTATGTGTTTGCCCTTAGGACAATTATTTCTTGTACCTTTTTCAAAATATATATATGTAGGATGGTGTGTGCACGTAACTGAGTAAAAATAAATGAAGAAAGTTAAATGTATCGAACCAAAAATATGAGTGGAAAATAACGATAACACCTCACAGCTTGGCCCAGCAGACGACACACTATCTAGCGGTCACGCACTCCCCTTACTCGTTCCCTTTGCCAGGCGTACGTATGGGAGAAATACATATCTTGAAGTCTAATTTGAAAATGGTGATGGGCACAGTGATTTATATAAGACATGCCTTTTCCAACAATAACATAATAAGAAACATTGTATCATTACTAAAGTAAATGAATTAGTATTCCCACAAACAACAATTGACAACTCTGTTCATGTTTCCCGCCTCCTCGAGCACCTGTGTCCCGCGCGCTGACATGTTAGTCATTTTAACTTACCTTCTTTTAAATTTAATACAGTAATATATTGTATTGCTAACCTTTTGGTGAGAGATGCTGGAGTTTGTGTTTTGCTGTGATCGTATAATGGGACTTTTGACTGTTTAGTCATCTTCATCAGACAGCAAGTGTTCTGTAATGTCTGATGGTAGAGGCGACGGTGTGGGTGGAGACAAAGATACAGAAGAGGAGAGAGAAGTAGAGGGAGGAGTCCTGCTGAGATTGACGGGGGTTTTAGGACGGAAGAAGGGGTCAATCTTAGTCTGCTTATTAGTCTGCATATCACGTCCCTCAACTCACGAAGGTGGGAGTAGTAATGTAGTAGCTCAGGGTCATTTGTATTGGCATGCAGATACTCAATAGCAGTGTCCAATCCTGCCCGAACAGCCGTGCAGGGGGCTGTACAGGAAGCTGATATCTCCAACTCAGTCATCAGCTGGAAGCTGGGATCACCTTCATCACTGTGAAGCCATTCCAAGACATTTTCTTCAGTAATCGTGTTCCCACCAGCCTTCTTCAAATTATGGTGGTAGTCAGCCATCTCAAATCCCTCAAAATCACCCACATGATCTACACCTTGAAGCAACTTCTTCCAGCCGTTTGAAAGCGTCAGTACCTTCACATCCTTCCACTCTACTGCCCAGTTGAAGATGGCAGCCTTGATGTCATGCTTCCGGAGGTTCTGTAGAGTGCACTGGCCTCTTGTGTCCTCGTTTTTATCGACTTCATCCTCCAACACAACCATGATTTCTTGCAAAAACTTCCTTCTATATATCCTCTCTGATGCATAAATTATGCCTTGATCCATTGGCTAGATTAATGATGTTGCATTGGCAAGAAGGAAAATGCACCATATCATGCCATCATCACTAACAAGCTCACGGACATCAGGGTGAAATGGTGCATTATCAAGTAGAATGATGGCCTTAACACGATAGGCAGGAATCTTCAAGATGTCAATCTGATAACGGTGTATCTCAGTGCAGGCGTGCTTAAAAAAGAAGTCTTTAAAGATAGCTGCCATAAAACAGGCCTTGGCACTGGCATAATAATGGACATGCAGATGATCCATTATGTCCTTGATAGCACGAGGATGCTTAGCCTTTCCTACAATAACAGGAGTTAAGCGGTGCATGCCGTAAGCATTGGCAACACACATCACAGAAAAACAAACCTTATCCAGTTTACTCATACGTGTTGAGTGTTCCTTTGCCAGGGCCTGGGTATTCTCAGGTAACAATCTCCAAAAAAGCCCTGTCTCATCTGCGTTATACACCTGTGAAAAGAGCAGGCCTTCTCGAGCAATCAATTCAGTCAACATCATATGAAATGGCTCGATCTCCTCGGTTGGGGCACTTGCAGCTTCCCCACAGACCTTGTTTGACAATCCCATGCCTCCTCCTAAACCTCCATAGCCAACCATCAGAAGCATTAAAGTTAGATATGCCAAGGTGTGTAGCTAACTTCAGCCATTTGCATCTCAACACCTCACACAGCCACACCACTTGAACGGTGCTGTGATTTCCATTTGAACACAGCATCTTCCAGTCTTTGATCTTGCGCTACTCTTATCAGCTTGCGGCCTCCAACAGTTGTCTTGGAGGTTGAAGAATCAGGCCTATATTTCATTGCAAATGACTGCAGGGAACACTTAGCCTTTCGTATATTAGACACCGTTTGCTTAGCGACGCCATATTCGCTACAGCATCTCGCTACAGACCAACTACTCTCTAACTTCTGTAACAACTCCAGCTTCTTAGCTACAGTAAGCTGCGTGCGCTTCCTTTTGGGTGTCATCACTGCAGAACAGTCACAAGACACAAGAATTCAGACAAAATAGCACAAGGAACAACAAAAGGGCACGATCAAGAGGGAGCAAGATGGTATGTACAGACCGACACTACAAGTGAGACTGAGGAGGGACACGCGCTGTGACTAGTGGCGGGAGATGCGGACTGGGTCCATTTTAGTAGCAGGGGATTAAACATGGCATATGGACTGAGAGAAAGAGACTGGATAGGAATTTGCCACATCCGCACGTCAGTCCAGACCAACCGAAATCCAGATGTGAGAGGTCTGGAAGTGTGAGGGTTTACTGTGTAAGTTAATGTTGTGATTACTGCACCTTAGTGTCCCAGTTGTGGTGATATCCAAGTGTCACCCAACGAAGCTTCTTCTGTAACCCACTTTCTCTTCCTTCAGTCCTGCAAATAGTGAATAATTAAAAGAACAGACGAGGAGAAGGGAGGTTGGAAACTGAAGTTAGCAGCTTAACACAGCTTCATAAACAAATAACATAGAAAGAATTGTAATAATGTTTGCTAGGGACCTTAAAGGAAGAGCATAGGAGGAAAAATTGGCAAGGGTGAAGTTGTAAGAAAATCCACCATATTAAAGACAAGATCTAATCTCCAGAAGATATCATGGTATTGTTTTATCCCTAGACGTGACATCCTCTGTTAACACTTATATTTCCTGAAAATTGAAAGCACAAATCCTCAACAATTGCTCCTTATTATGCTCAAGGCTTTCTGATATTTGAAAGTATAATAATATATAAAGCCTAAAGTGCTTTAAGAATATTTTGTATATTACACTGTGCACTATAGACCAGAAATAGTAAAGACAATAAATAACAGAAAAATAAATCAAATTTTTATATGATGTACAGTACAATACAGTATATTAAGCACCCTTAAAACACATGTTCTAAAGGGATCCCCACATGAAGAGCCAGTGGGTTGAGTGTACTGTACTTTGGGATGAAAGCAACCTTCATGAATTCTCTCTGCTTCTCATTTTGCTCAGTTGGGTCTTATATATTTGAATAATCTAACTTCAATTCTTATAGCGCAGAGATAGAATCATCTGTCAAGCAAAGTGTATTTGAGAATTATGTAATATGTAGCAAACTTGTTACTGTATTCAGGATATAACACTTAAACCAAGGTAAGTAGCGCTTAATATAACAGAATATACGTATCCCTTGTTTAGTGTTAATTCAAACGATAATTCAGTTTAGCTATGCCGGTAGTATACAATTTTTAACACAGTTTCTCGTTTAATGTTAGGTCAAAACTTGGCTGATCAATAGTTTGACTACTATGATGGGGGAAAAGCTGGGGATGAGGTGGCCTGTGAGATGGCATGTTGCCTTTGTTACATGTAAGGAAACTAAAAAAGTTGTAATCCTGTTTTATAAAATTTGAATTTAGTCTTAATACCCTGAATGCAACTGAAGTAATTTATTTGCAAGTCTGCCATCAGTGACTGCTTTGTTTACAAAAAATGCTGTGATAAACAATAAAATTGATACATAGCATATCATCAAATACAACAATACATATTTTATGTACAAAAATAGTTCCTTCCACACTACACATGGGACACAGGAGACAGTGAACAGCTGAGAGATCCCCCACACCACTCCTGCCTCCCCAGATTTGTGTGCCGACTACTGCACACGTAAGACGTGCTTATCCCCATTATGGTTTTAACTACAGTAAACTCTTGATTTCAAGGAATCCGATATAACAAACTCTCAATTTAGCGGAAGGAATTTTGTCCATTACTTTTCGCTCAATTTAGCGAACTAGTTTGCTAAATCTAGATTAATTCCATTATTACACTCACACCTACAGACACACCTCAAACACATAATATATTCATAGAAACATTATTCATGGCTTACCTTAAACTAGAGAGTTCGGTGTTTGTTTTCAAACTTTGTATTATTTCCAAACTTTTTTCCATTTGATAGCCACACTCTTTTGACTTTATTCCCCACACCACTTCCTTCCTGAGACTTCTGAGAGACTTTCAGCATGATGTCTAAGTACAGTAGTTAGTTGACCGAGAGGTAGCAGTGAACAACACACGCAGTGGTGGCACGTGAAGATGAGCCCGGAAGGGCAAAAAACAACGTCATTCACTAAGTGACTTGAAAGCAGATGATATTAGTCACTAAAGATCGACTGTCTTTCTACTAGTATTCAATCTACCAGATTTTTTTTTTGCGGGAGTTTCTATTTCTAGGTGGCAATGCTGGTTACTCAGACCACCAGGCATGGTCAGTGTACTTTCAGCCGCGGTGACAGAAGCTACTCCTGGACAAAATACTTTGGATTTATTCTGAAGAATGGTCGAGCTGTGTGTGCTCTGTGTTGAGAGAATGTTGTTTGCCGGACATCAAGTTTAAAGAGACATTATGAAACGAAGCATGAGAAAATGTTTAAGGACAATGCAGACAAGACTGAAGCAATTAAGAAGGCAGTATCCAGCTATGAAAAACAAAGCAGCATTATGAAAAATCTGAGTGCAAACAAAGATCATGCAACTGTGGCCAGCTACAAAGTTTCTGTGTATTGCTAAACATGGAAAACCATTTATTGATAGGGAATATATAAGGGAAGCCTTTCTCAACAGCTCTCAAGCTTTATTTAGTGATTTACCAAACAAATACACAATCATCTCAAGGATAAAAGACATGCCTGTTGCAGCCAGGACAGTAGAGAGGTGCATATCAGGCATGGCTGCAAATATAAGAGAACAGCAAACTGTTGCATTAAGAAATGCAATTGTGTTCAGTATTGCTGTTGAAGAGTATTGATATACACGTTTGGCTATTGTCGCCAAGGGAGATGACTGTGAGGCTTCCATCCTAAGCTGCTGGGCATCACTACCAGAGAGATTTTATTGCATGAAGAAGGCTGCCTTCGCACTGCTTTCAGCCTTTGGATCGACATATCTATGTGAGCAGATATTTTAACACATGAAGAATATTCTCAATCCTCATCGCAGCCGACTTACAACTGATCACTCCAAGGAGTGCGTGCAACTTAAGGTGCCCAGATATACTCCCGACATAGCAACGCTGAGCAATGGGTAGCAGGGACAGGGATCACACTAAAATGGTGAGAGCATTTTATAGTACAGGTATTTGATTATATATCTTACCATTCATATGTAATTGTGTGTATTTCAAATACTGTATGCATGAAAATTATAGTTGTCACGCAGAGCATTAGAAATGTTAAAAACTGGCACAGTGTATTCAAAAGGTTGCCAACCCCTGACATAGATCATAGTTCAGCCTCACCTGCTCTGAGTGCTACTGGATGGCAAAATTGGACTCAGTAACACACTTACTGTACAGTCCACTGCCCCCCATGAGCCCATGTATACTATCACTTCCTACCCATACACACCCATGCTTTTAAATTTTATAGATTTATATTATATTTTCTTATTTCTAAGCTACTGTACATTAGAGAATTGTAATGATTATTCCACAACTTTTATAGTTTCATTACATGTAACAATGGCAATATGCCATTTCCATGGTTATTATTCCTTACCCTTAGTTGAGTGATAATTTTGCTTAGCATTAGATTTTCAGGAACGCATCATGCCCATCATTAAACGAGGGATACCTGTAGAGTACTCTAAAATAACCAGTTACAAATTGTATTCAAGAAAAGGGAAATTTGGTAACTTACTCAGCACAAATACACAAAGAGGACATACAAATTATAACTTACTGGACCACTTACATACGTGTCAGTTGCCACCATGTGGAATCTTTCAGTTGGATGCCATGTGAGGCTAAGTTGGTCTTGTTAGTGGCACAAGGAAACTCTTTCAAGCACCTCTTGATCCACTGTAGCTGACCTTGGCAGGTGAAGGGATTACAGATGATTAATAAACCTGCAAAATAAAAGTAAGATATTCATAAAGAGGAGCCTCATTATATGCTATTTTCATTAAAGTAAAAAATGCTTTGCAGTGTTTGAATTGTTAGAATTTGCTTTATAAGTAGGTAATGAAATATTGTTTACATAAATAATTTATCCTTAAACACTTCAGAGCAGAAACAGCAATACTGTATACAATCCTCTTTATCCATTCTCCACAGGTCAGCTTATATAACTCAACTGCATTTTCTCTTCTGGTTTTTTTAATCTTATTACAGAACTGGGTTGTAGAAAAGTGAGATAGTCATGCATGATGAGGATCATCGTGGGAGTGGTGAGTTGTTGGCAAGTCCTGGCCCAGTGATAATACTCAATGTGTGGTTATCCTACACTCCTACTACCCAAACAAGCTGTCTATGTCCCTCAAAAGAAAGAAAGAAAGAAAGAAAAAAAAAAAAAAAAGCTTTTGTTAGGCAAAACATAAAACTCACTCAAAACAAAAAACTCACATCTTAGCTACTAAGGGGTGAGTTAGCTGTCACCTACATAACCTAACCCAGCAGTACAAAGTAAAACTTCTACACAAATTCTCGATATACCTGGATGGGAATTTATGGAGTATATTTTCCAGGATGATGGTAGTAAGAGTCCTATTTCTTGTGCAAGTTCCTGGTCCTTCTCTGTGATGAAACATGGGGGTATTTGTCTTCCTCCCTATAAGATCATAAGAAATTACAAAGTCAAAAGTGACAGACATTGATGATCTCTTCTTTATGTAACACAAACATATCTGATCACTGTAACACTAGTCATTGATCAAGGAGGTGTCAGCTACAACTCAGGGCTAAAAGTCTTCACCATTAGTTTCACATGTAACATCCCAAGACTATCATGAGTCGGCTAAAATGCCTGTATAACGGTACAGTGTACTGCACACATCATTGTCATTCCTAAAAACCCTTTAATTCATATTACGCTACATAACATTCAAATCCACCGTGCTTGTAGAATCTCAGAAAATGGGAAACGTTGATAAAGGATAACTCACCTACTGAATGTTACTGAAGTATTTGATGAATTGTACCCAGATACGGGTATATAATATTAAGTGTATGTACTCATAGCATTAAGGACAACTCAAGGTATCTATAAGATGGTTGGGAGAGTCCAACCAGTACAGATTAGTGTACTATAAGGGCTAAAAGTAGATCGTGTTTGAAGGTCGTTCTATTGTCGTCTGTGAACGATTAATGAACATAGCTACCACAGGTGGTCAATGAAACTATAAAAGAACATTGATATGGAAAAAAGATAAATGTATCACACCTATGTGAAGTGTTGGAAATGATTCAGAAACTATACTTCAAAGGAAATATCTTGTATGCATCGGTGTGAACTTAATACACCTCGTCATCTCGTGTGGCGTATACCCACGCTAAAACGCCTCGGGCATACCGCATTGATATTATAACCCAATGCATTTACCCAGGAACTAGCAAACCAGAACCTTACCTTAGTGTGTAATTTAGGATTAAAATATGTATTTATAAGGCATAAGGTCACAATAGATAGGAAAATGGAGATGTGAGAATCATAAGAATTCAAAGTGAAAATTAGAAATTGGAAACTGTAGGCCGAGTCAGGGAAAAGCGCGGGATATTGCTTTTAGTAACCCCAGCCCTTCTCCCAACACAGGTCAGTGTCCTTCATTCAGCCCTAAAAAGACTTATTAAGCAGTTCTTACATCTTAAAACCTTGCCTGATGTTATAAAGTGAAGTTATAGTGTACTAGTGTGGGGTGAGGAAAGCCCCTCAGGCATTACTTTCAGTAACCCCAGCCCTTCTCCCAACACAGGTACCACGCGAGCGTCAGCCATTACCTCCCCTGTAAGGGACGCACCATGGGGGGTGCGTCTGCTCACCGTGGTCATGCACCTCCACTGTGAGTCTGTAGATACCCTACATATCACCACCCAGGATAGGAGAAAATCACTGTATACTTGAGAACCAATACTGGTATGATTACCTGGGAAGTATCCCATCTGCTCATCAAGAGAAGTGTAATGAAAATAATAATTGTTCTCCTGATGAAGACCAACTCTTTTTGTAATGTACCAGGTGATGTTATACTGATGTGTTTGGTGTTATACTGAGAAGGAATGACCGAGGTAAGGAGGTCAATGATTGTTATGAGGAATGAGTGTGTTAATGACACGCAATTAATGTAAGACGTATGTTGTGGGGCAGTGTAACTAAAATCATGGTTGTTCTTCTGAGGAAGGGCGACTCTTCTTGTATTTTGACGGGATGCAATATGTTTTATAAGGAATAAATTAGTTAAGACATGTATGTTGTTTCACCCTTCTTCCCACTATCGATTTGGTCAATGAAAAATCAACCCAATGCCTAACTTACTCTGCCCGCTACCTAATAAGCTACATACTGTCCAGAGGGGGTCTGGTGGCAGCGACCTTAAAATTAAGAATAGCGTTAAGTTATCCCCTTAGAATTAGTGACCCCAGAATCTGGCAGTATAACAGGACCAACATCCTCAGCACTAACTCACATGGGGGATTCTAAATTGTCTGCTTTGTGCTGGGTTATACAATACAATTTCAGGATTAATCCCTCACTTACAGTCTAGTAGCTGGAGAAAGAGTGATGGATTTCATAAAGATTAAAAATTTTTGCTTATTTTGCCTGATGATTAAACACCCTTGCACTAAATGGAGGGGAGAGGGATTTAGGTTTGGTTAGGTTAGCATTAGGATATCTGATCATCAGATGATATAAGCAGGGGTTCCTGAACTTCATGAAATCCAGAGTGAATCATGGTCCTGAAGGTTGGCAGGTCTGGAGCTGCATTTTTGGTGATCCTGCAGTAATATACTGTACATCTATCATGTATCTCTCACCTTAAAATCTTCATTAACATCAATGACAAGACTGCAATCAGGAGGAGGCTTTTTTCTTTTGTAGTACTTAAATATGTCTTTAAATCTGTCTTCCTCTGTATCAAGTCCATTGTCTTGCATGATGATCGGATGTTATTCCTGAAATATAGAATTTAATTTCAAGGTCTGATTCAGACCACTTTTAACAAAATGTAATTTTTTTTTATATGCAAAACAATCAACTCACAATAATATCTCACTATTTTAAGCCTATCTACATAAATTATTTAGTGTAATAGTGAGGCTGACTGGACACCTTCAGATGCCAAACAATGAATGTGCATCAAATTCTTCTGGCATAAAGAGATTTCTGACAGTCAGGCTATATTACTATAAAAACTGTCTCTATTCCAGTACAGCACTGTATTGTTTTAGGAAAAGCTGTAAAACAAAGGTGCTACTGTTTTACTCAAAACTATTTTTAAGGGTTCTTCAAAATATAATTGTTTTAAAGCCTAAAATGGAAATTCAGTCAGGTACAATATTCCCTTAAAGCTCGCAGTTTTAAAACTTGTGTACTGACACTGAATTTAATCTCGGACACTTTACAGATGAAACAAGGAAAAACTATTTTAGTATTAGAATTCCCGGTTACGTATAAAACGACGGTCAATTTATAGTCTTGCACCGGTCATTCTTTCGCTGTTACTGTATTAATATGTATTTTGTAATGTTTAGAGAATTTAAGAAATTTTTCTTCTATGATATTTCCACCGGAAATTAAGGATAACCGAGATATTAATTTTTCAATATTATTACATTCGCTCAGTCGCAAGTTTTGCCATGTCTTGTTTACTTTTGGCGGAGTAGGTAGTATTGCACCGGTCTTTATTTTAATATCAAAAATAGTTTTTTCCTATGGTATTTGATGAGTTTCAAACAAATTTGATATTCATTTCCGCTGGAAATCACTAGTTTTTGAGATTAACCCCCCCCCCCTCCCAATCATAACAGAAAAAGTAGGATTTTTTCTCGAATAAATCACAAATAAAATACCAACCAACCAACAAAACCTAACCCCCCTTTGTTCATGCCCCCACATAATGCATTGTAGATGCTTAAGAAGTGAAGACAGAGGTGAGGAGCGATGCATGAGGGGGTGTCAGACTCCGCCAAACGTAATCAAGACAGGGCGAAACTTGTGACTGAGCCCATGTAACAATATTGAAAAAATAATATCTTGGGTATCCTTAATTTCCGGTGGAAATATCATAGAAGAAAAATGTCTTAGAATTGTCTAAACATTACGAAATACATATTAATAACATCGAAAGAAAGACCGGTGCAAGACTATAAATTCACAAAAACGACTTTTTTTACCCTAACTCATTACATACATTAATAAATACCTTTGGTACAGGGTTTTGACCAGTGTTTTTGATCACAAACTTCCGCAGCTACAACTCCGTTTCACTATTTCTCGTTCACATGAGGTTGTCATATTAAGATAAATGTAAAAATTTCTTGCTAGATGCTTGCAGTCGTTCATGTTCATATATGCTGCTCAAGTTGATACATATTGCTGAAGAATAGGTGAGAAGTTACGTCAGTTTCGTCTATGTTGACATTAACCACCAAGGCTCACCCGGTCGCGGGCGGATATTCTACTAATGTAGGTAAGTACGTTTTCTTTCTTGACGTTTTGGTTAATTCCATATATTTTTAACATAAATTACTTGGTGACCACCCACCAAAGGCCAAAGTTTAAAAGAGCTATCTCACTGGACAAATTTGCGTGTTTCTCAGGAGAAATACGGCGATACCGCCGTTTTCGATAAAATTTTCTGCCTGAAAACTGAGCCGAGGATAAAGGGAAGTACAGGAGTTCTTGGGAAAGTTTTTACTTTTACTTTTTTTTTAAATTTTATCCTCTTCACCACTGATCGATCCGTTTGGGCGATCGATCACATCTCTGTTACGCACTGTTGGCAAGTACTGGGCATGCACCGGCTCCTGAATGTATCTGAACCTGCTCCAGTGCTTGTCAAGTCAGAAGGTCCGACTAATTACCCAAATGTAGCCGGAATGAAGTCAAATAATGGCCCTAGATGAATAAATCGGACTGCCAATCACTTCTTGACTAGTATTTGGTGTCACAAAGTCACAAAAAATTGGTAAACTTAATTTAATCTGAGTTAATAGATCAAGTGCATGTACCTAACCTAATCTAATCTAACCTAACCTAACCTAACCTAACCTAACCTAACCTAACACAACACAACTCAGATTAAATTAAGTTTACCAATTTTTTTTTTACTTTATGACACCAAATAATAATCGAGAAGTGATTCACAGCCCGATTTACGCTTGTACGACCATCATTTGACTTCATTGCGACTATATTTGGCTACATTTGGGTAATTCCTCGCTCCGTCGGTACATGCACGCGATCTATTAACTCAGATTAAAGTAAGTTTTCCAATTTTTTTTTTACTTTATGACACCAAATACTAGTCGAGAAGTGATTAGCAGTCCGATTTATTCATGTAGGACCATTATTTGACTTCATTGCGACTTTATTTGGCTACATTTGGGTAATTAGTCGGACCGCAAGTTCAGACAGACAGTTCCAAGAGTTCGCAACTCCCACCCCGAAAAAGTTAACCCTTACAGTTTTCTGGGCTTGCGGCTTCTTCAACCTTGAGCTGTGACCCCTTGTGGGGCGAGCGTCCGCCAGCTCCAGGTAAGGGCACTCGACTGTGTAGTGCCCTTTGAGATGTTTATACACCTCAATTAGGTCTCCCCTTGCCCGTCTGTAGTATAAGCTAGGCAATTGCAGGGGTCCAACGAATTACCCAAAAGTACCCAAAAGTATATTAAATCAGGGTAAAATTTTAACGAATATCTGTTATACATACAGTACACAAAACATGTCTAATAATATTTTTAGTGTAATTTTGTAAAAATAATTTGTAAGATGAAATAATAAACAGCGAAAAACTTTCAGTATTGGCAAACGCTAAATTCCAAAGAGTTCGTGAACAAGGGAGATAACTCAGATCCATTGTGATGCACTTCGCTAACCTAACCTAACGAAAAGTAAATCCTACGGCTATGTTAAGTACCCCAAAGTAACAGAAACATCGGTAATTATATCTCCATTTTGGATAGGGGACTCTTTGGAATTTAGCGTTTTTCGCTGTTTATTATTTCATTATTTTGACTACATTTCAATGAAAACATTATTAATCAGGTTTTATTGATGTAAAACATATATTCGTTAAGATTTTACCCTGATTTAATATAATTTTGGGTACTTTTGGGTAATTCGCTGGACCGATTACAGGCGCTCTAATCTCTCAGGGTAGCTGAGGTGCCGAAGTGCTGGTACCAGCCTGGTGGTCCTCCTTTGGACATTTTCAATCAACTGACAATCCCTTGCATATCTCGGGGACCAGACGGGGAAGCACCTCACTCTTGAAGATCGTTACGAGGGACGGACCATCTAGATATTTGAACGACCTTCTTATAAGGCCTAATTGTTTAGTATGCCTTCCTCTGTATTTGTTTTTTTGCCGTATCTATCGTTCGTTGGGTCCCACAGACAACGGTGAGATCTAATATTATCCATCATGTATTCTTCGGACAGGCGTGTCTACACAGGAATAGAGGCAGTGAACAGGGTTGCCAACTCGGATTTTCAAATGTCGCTAGGCTGGTACCTAAAAGTAGCTAAATGTCGCTAAATCTTCCATGGAAAGTCGCTAGCTATTATTCCCCCCCCTTCAGTAATTTGATGCAAATAATATTTTCATAATGCCGACTATAATGGACGGAGTATAAATAAAATGCATTATGTAAAAATAAAAATATTATTTTGTTTAAAGTTTAATGTGCACACTTACCTATTATTCAATAGTAATTGCATCCCAGTCCTCTTCGTAGTCGTCGGCAGTGTGAACAACTGTAGAGCTGGAAGCATGTGAAGTGCTTGGTTCAGGTTCTCGTGCAGATATCTTGTAACTGTATGCCTCCACAGTCCCTATCTTTCTTAAAATATCACTAGGAAGTTCATAACTTGCACAACAGGTGTTCTGTCTTTTTAACCCATACTTTATTGTAAGAATTGCCTTTAATGTCGATAGTTTCATTTTGTTGCGCAATTTTGATTTCACAAAGTTCATATTACTAAATGTACGCTCTACATCTGCGTTTGAATGCGGAAGAGATAAGGCAGCGAGTGCAATTTCAGCCAGATCATGGTAAGGGTTTTCATCTGTTGCATCTCTGTAATTTGCCACTTCTGACCACAATTTTAGGGTGTTAGATGTTTCTGTCCAGATTGTGTGATGCAGTTTTTTCCACTGGAAATCAATCTTGGTAAGGGTGCTGGAATCTTCTGTAAATAAGTGTGCCAAACCAAGTATATCTGATTTAATAGGCTTCAAGCATTCATCGGCACTCAGAAAAGAAATAGACTGCAGCACACGAATGTTGTCAGGTAAGCGTTGACGAAGTTGTTTTATGAGTTCAACCCGTTCAAATGTATTGTCCCTGTAACCCCGTTGCTATATATTATGGTTCGAAATTAGGAAAACTGAGTTTTCATGGACAGTCCAAAAGTATCCAGAAAGTCGCTAGATTTCTGTGGATATCTCTAGATTTGCGACAAGTCGCAAATCGCTCTAAAATGTCGCTAGAAAAAAACAAAAAGCTCTAGATCTAGCTACAAAGTCGCTAAGTTGGCAACTCTGGCAGTGAAGTTGAACACGACTCATTTGTTAACAAATATCAAATGTAATTACGAATATCAACATCAATAAAAAATATACACTTTATCAATATATTAAAATGCAAAATAAATACTTTTTAAATCGAACTTAGTTACTTGATGTGGTTTGATTTTTATTTAATATAAATATTCTCATTCTAGAGTAGAGATCTTGATTTGTCCACAGAAATTGGCGCAAATTGCACCATCAAGAATGGGCTGGAATGGTGCGTTTCGGCTGGGCGAGATGGGGTTAAAAAATTGACAATTCGTAGAAAAAACAACGGAAATTTGACGGAAAAAGTGTTAATTTGCCGCCGCCAAATGTGAAGAATGCAGTATGTGATTTTTTTAGTAGTGAATAGAAAGTTCGATATCTAAAATATGAATTCTCGGGTTGTGACTGACCCGGACAAAACAATTGCCGGGATCTGAACCAGACGCCTCACCTGACATTAATCTACCATTTACCAGCGACTCAAGGGTTTCTGATCCTGAAACACAATGCTGAAAGGATTATTTTTAACAATAAAGGTTGGTATGATTTATTACTATTAGATAACTGGAAATATCTTATAGTCAAGTATTAGGGTTGCCATATCTGAACATTCAAAAGAAGCTCCCGAAGACATCCCCCCCGCCCGGCACACACAGGCTAATATACAACATACATGGTATAGAAATCTTTAAAAAAAAAATTACCTTTGCTTAAGGCTGAACATCTTCATTCCCTTAGCTGCAGTCTTCTTCCCCCACTGTGTGTGTGACTTGATGTGCCCATGCATACTTTTCTGTAGATCGGATCTTTTTCAGTATTGGCTGATTGCTCTTTAGAAAGGTATAGAAGTCACTGCAAGATGTTTCTCGGAAGTTGTACTGTACAGTCAGAATGCCTTTCATTGTTTCAACACTCAATTTGTTCCTTTCCTTTGTCCATTGACTTTGCATCAGTGAAAAAACTCTTTCTACATTTGCATTGTGAGATGATATAGCAAAGAAGAATTGTGCAATTCTTAGCAATTCTGAGTGGCATTTAATGTTCTTTGATTTTTCAAAGTATCTGGTCCACTTTTTATGTGTTGGCAGATTACTAAATTCTTCATCACTCTTGTAATTTTCCACAAACTGCTTCAGGTTACTAACTTGGTCAAAACTCTTCATCAATTTCTACCCCCCTTATCAATCAAATATTTGACAGCTAAGTTGGCAACACCGTACAGGCGTACAAGTGACTTATCAGCTTACGAAAACTGAACGAGATATCTACGGTTTCCACCTCCCCTCTCTCACAGCCTCTCTCTCTCTCTCTCTCTCTCTCTCTCTCTCTCTCTCTCTCTCTCTCTCTCTCTCTCTCTCTCTCTCTCGCTCTCTCTCTCTCTCCCCCGTCATTACAGTTTCATGTTTCTTTCCGTGGAGGAAATGATGGAAGCTGAAATTCCGGACTTTTGAAGAATTTTAAAAATTCCTTCCGGATGAAGATTTCGAGACCTAAATGGAGGACATGTCCGGGAAAATACGGACGTATGGCAACCCTATAAGTATACTATGTACCATATATGTATTATCTATTGTTTCCAAAAGAAACTCTGTATGTGATAAATATATACGTCATGTATTTATGCAATTCTATGTAAACCATGTATGTATGTACCTGCTTGTCAAACCCAAAGGCGCTATGCAAAGTCGAAATTAAGAACGCGAGTAGGAGTATCAGACATGAGACTTGAAGATGGTAATTACGCAGATTCTGAGCAGGATAAAGCTGAGGGATTGAACAGCTTCTTTACCTCATGTTCACAAGAGAGGCTGCGATTAACCTTTCTGCGTTTGAGGACAGACGGTTCTTGTGCCTTAATGAGTCAGGCCAGTTGATACCTCTCATCTCTTCCCTCATCCCATTGAAATTTCCCTTGTAATATTTGCACCTTGGCCTGGCCTTATCCTAAACTAGGTAACAGTTAAATCTGAATGACAACACTATATGG